AGACATACTGTATTGCAAGTTGAGGAGACATGTCAAAACAGGCTGTCAGTTTGACACCTGATGCAAGGACAAGGGAACTGCATTACAAATCCCAGCCCCTTCTAGTGATTTCTTACACTTCCACAGGATCCTGCCCTACGCAGCAATAATTCTGCTCTGCAAGGTTTTAAGTTGCCTGTGAGGAGGAACACCCACACTCTTCCTCATGCTATTCATATTTGTGTAACATGAGGACTGCAAGACCTTAAATGAAATACAGCACAGCACTAATCAGTACATTGTCAGTGTTCCCAAATGACCAGGTGAAAAACTGCAAGGAAAACAAAAAGCTTGAAAGGATACATCTCTGTTTGAGAGAGGAAAAGGGTACTTCACTTCCCAGTAGATTATTTTTTCACCATCGTAAGTTTTCTCATACAGTTCTACAGTTGAGAAAGGAAGACAGTTAGATGTATTTAATTTCCTCTGCAGCACACACAGGACATGAAGAAGTGTTCAGAATACGCCTGCCAAACACAGTGTGCGAGTAACCTTCACACCCAAATTGATATGCGTGTGCTGGGTGTGGTAGCAGAAGATTTTAAGAACTTCCTATGGGCCATGATTGTTGACGAACCAAATGCACAAGAGGAGGAGGCCTGTGGTTTTCTGCTGCTTCTAAATTCATTAATGAAAGAAAAAAATCCAGCAGAATGCAGAGTCAAATTCCCTTTCAGACTGTTACTCTTTCAAAACCTTTTCATCCCAAAGTGTTTTCCTTGTCTGTGCAAAGTCAGGATAATTCTAAACCACCAGCAGATCGCTCATTACCCTTGTAAATGATTCTGAGCTAAGGTGGAATTAAGACAAGTATTCCATCCTAGTGTTTGAAGAGCTCTTACACGAGGGGTGAATGAAATCTTGAAACGCTATTAGGAAGTTCCAGCAGGATATCTAGGCAATGCAGGACATTAGGCTGCAACAGGTTAACGTGTCACCATTGCACCACCTTTACTCTGCCTGGAAATGAAGTTGGAAGGAGGATGAATTGCAGGAGGGCGGGGAGGGATGCAGGAGTCGCCAGAATGTGACAGTGACTCATCCCGTAAGAGAGGAACAGTGTGGCAGAAAGCAAGTTTAGTTTAAATCAAGCACATAATCAATTTGAGATATTCAGCTGTGCACTGTCAGGCAGCTCAGCTGTCCTCTCTTCCTGCAAGAACGGGCCTCACGGGGCCATGGGAATCAGTGCGGGAGCCGGGGCACGGCCCTGATGGGTACAGGGTGCTGGGGGCCGTGAGCCCAAGCAGCCCCTTGGCGTTAAGGCTGCTCCTGCGGCTGAGCTTACACACGCGGCACGGTTAGCGCAGCCTGGCACAGCACTGGAGGTGCTTGCAGAGGAAGGCCGGAGCCGACGCGATTCAGTGCTGAGGCGCGAGGGCTGCCACCGCGGCCGGTGCTTTCCCCACGTCACGCGTTCCCAGCGAGGCTCCCTTAGCGTGCCCTGAAGTCAGCTGGCACCGCTGAAACAACCCGTCTGCTTCTGCAGCGGGGGAAAAACTCCAGTGGGGTTGTGCTAGGCTAAACCGCGATGGTTTCCACCAGAGGTCACTGGAGCATTGCTTTGTTACCTTCCAACTAGGGCTTTGCTCGCTTTTCTTCTTGCAAAGGAGGAAGCAGCATAGAAAAGGATGGTTATCACTACTGCACTGTCTCTACAGTTTACTGAATGAGTGGGTTGTGTAAATTTTTAAGCTAAAAGTCAAGTCTTATACATTTAAAGAGTTAACTTACATAGGACACTAACTTTACATGCCAACACAAGTATTTTAATTTACAGATGAATACATCATGGTCATATAAAGGATATAAAGGCCATCTCTGCAACATTATATAATTTCTAGTTTAAGGGTGTAGCTTCCCCCAACAATCTCCTTTCTTTTCTCTGAAAAGGCATTATAAAAAATAGAAAGCATTTGTTTAAGAACTGAAGCAGTCAGTTCTCTTAAGCACATTTAAACCAGATTCTGAAGCCACCAAGGTAACCTAAGCTAACATGGCATTTTTGACATACACTATAATAGTATCTGCATATTTGAAGTCCAGCTCCTTTTGTTTCACCTATAGGAAAGAGGCCTTTTTCTACAAGAAATTTGTTTCCCATTATTACAACATCTTTGGCTAGCAATCTGATCAGCTGAATCCTTGTCTTGTCACTGGTGACTTAACATTCAAAATGTTCTAACATCACAGGAATATCCAGATCCAACTCCCTATTTTAAAGGCCATATTAAACTTAAAAAAAAAAATTGCTTATTCATTTCTCTGTAAGAATCCTAAATCACTCCCTTGATCCGTGCATTTCTTATTCTGAAAGGTGTCAAGAAAAACTTCTGAACATACTGAATGTTCAGAAAAGACAGTCCATCCTACATGATAAAGCCATTTCAGTTTTTAAACCTCTGCTGCAATATGCAAAGATACACAAAGGTGGCATCTCTGTTTCCCCACAGAACTTCTAATAAACTTTCACTTAAGACTCACAGGAATGACTCTACCACAGGCTGCAAGGTGCTCCAGTAACAAATGAGGCCAACTGGATGCTTTAACCAATATAGAAAGAACTTCCAAAAGGATAGTTACATGTTAGCTGTTCATGTCAGTGCTAACTTGCTTATTTGCAGAATGCAACATTATCTCAAAAAAAAACCCCTAAGTATGGCTCAAAAGTCCTTTGGACAAAGCAGCTTTAAAATACTTTTGAAGAAGAGCATTTGTGGAAAGAATCAGCGTGGTCAAGCGTGCTTTTAAACTGTCTAATCAGCTTACCTTTAACATACTGATCCCATTGTTTTCTAAAATCTAAATCCATGTAGACATCTGCACATAGTTCTGGTGGACAGTCAGCAAGACCACCATAGATTTTGTATTCATAAAGTCCTGATTGCTGTGGAAAGAGAATCAGGAGAGGAAAAGTCACACAGGAAAGGGAAGTATTCTACAGCAGAAAGAACAGCTTCCTTCAGCTGTTAGGTGGGGCATGTACTACAAATACCATCAAGAGCTGTGAAAGTAAGTGTTCAAAAAACAATGCCAGATCCAGTCTTTTAACTGCTCTCTTTTTGATCTATTCATTAGATTTTAAATGCACACAGGCTGACCAGCCCAGTACAAGGGCTGTTCCTTCCCTTACACCAGCTACCCTGTTACTCCATAAGCAGTTCCAAAGGGAGCCTGTTTCTTCCCCTGCACCCTTCCCTTTTCATTCCCACTAGTCAGTGGGCAGTAAATGCAGCTCAAGCTCATCAGAAGATGAACATTAATTGCTATGGCAGAGACTCAAGGGCCTATAAATGAGGGGCCTAAGAGTTTCAACCATATCCAAGGAGTTACCAAATAAATAAGGGGCCTAAGAATTTCAACCATATCCAAGGAGTTACCAAATACTGCATAATTCGGAATAGTAGGTCTTGCTGCAAATTATTCTTGTTGCATACTGTGATACATGGAAATTTTATAATTTTTGTGTTTATGCAGAATACACACTACATATATTTTCCTTGAGAATTACCTATTTTCTTTCTGTAAGCTGAGAGGGCGGGGTGCAGGATATCTCTTGTGTTAATGCCTTTAATGTTTCTTGCAGCATATGGAAACTCCATCTGTGCCTACGGAGCAACGTTTGCACTATTGTTAGTACCAGTCCAGAACGAAATTAAAACAATGAGAGTATTTTGAGGATACAGTGTGGGAGTGAAATTCAAACTTTCCCAAGGAAAGGGAGGGAAGGATTATACAACTGTGTTGATGAATGGTTTATCTGATGTGTGTAAATATACATTTATTACAGGCACCACAACAGTAAATTGTATTTCTCCTTATCCTTCCAGTAATTTAGGAAAGTCTTATTGCCCCATGTCTTGAGGCTGCTTTCATTGAGCAACTGCAGTTATTTTCTATTCTTTTCCTGGACTTTGATTCTGAACTTTGTTGTGAGAAGTAACAAATCCAGCCCACCCCAAACCTTAGTTCTGCAGGCAATATTCAAAGATAGCTATTTTTCAGCACACTCACTGTTTCTTTTCATCCTTTAGCTCCTCTTCATCTCTTTGGAGGAGAAAGTCAGACAGCAATTATCTCTCATTTAAACCATGATAAATTTAGCATAGCATTGCTCTTTGTACCTTAGTGAAAACAGACTGCAGTTTTGCACTTCCAAACAGAGCATAGCTTTAGGAACACAGACTAATACATTGGCTTATTTGGTCCTTTGCTCCTAGAGCTTTTATGTAGCACCCAATAGACAGCGAGAAGTGGCTGTAATGCTTGTTGATCCAGGATTATCCAGAGATGTGCTTACAGTACAGACCTTTGAAAAGGCAATAGATGGAGCTTCCAAAGGTTCAAATACACCTGGTAGCAATAAAATTTACTGTCACAAAATCCAGAAGCAGTTAAATACAGAGTGCAATTTAGTTCTGCAATACACAGTCTTCTGATTTAGCCGGAAGGATTCTATTCTGCTACTACTGTTGCCATTTTCATGCTGTAAGAGGGTTTTTTAACCCCCCCAAAGAAATATTCAGGGGTGTAAAAAAATGGCACAGACCAGGACATAGCAGAATTAGCTGCACGGATAGGATGTGGGCCTCAGTGTCCGCATCAGCTCACGAGAGACCCAAGAAGGGAAGGTGCCGTCACCTGCCACGTTCCAGTCTGTAGGGACAGGAAACGCCTGGCGTTTCGGGGCAGGCCTCACCAAGCACCGCAGCTTTCCCTGCAACCGTAGCCGGGCTTGGGCAAGACGGGAACCTGATGCCTGGCGGATGGTTACGGCTTCATGTCCCTGCACAAACCGCTCTGGGAATCGGGCGGTGCTCCAGCTGAGCACGGACACTGTGTTTATCTCTGCACCTTGCAGCTGGCTCAGCAGTGAAACACCTGGGAAGTGCAGGTGAACTGGGGGAAGTGGGAAGCAGAACCACCTCACGTCACCTTTACCACATAACCTAGTTATATTACGGTTAATAAAGCTGACATGACAAACAGCCAGGAGCTTATAGAAGCTTTGCAAGCAATAATCGCAAAACTAGGAAAAGGGGATGGATGCAAAACCCGCCACCAAGTGGAAATGCAGGATTTGGGGCTCTCTGCTCTGCGACCCGGCTGCTGCGGGGGCTCCAGCCCGTCCGGAAGGCTGGGCTCTGGAAAGGAGAGGTCTGGGCCCCTCAGAGCCGGGTTTCACCCAGCTCTTCCCGAGCTCCCGCCGCCCCTGGGGGCCGCGCAGCCCCTCGGGGC